TACATCGCACCAACGTACCTCGTTATTACCGATTATCTAGCAACTCTTAAATATGATTAATAAAATATTTTATTCATTTTGTAAATTATTTCTAATTTTTTTGTCATTTTCTGTTGTTTACCTGATAAAAATCTGTCTGTTTTTAATCTATCACTAAGTGCCTTTAAGAATTTTGTAAGTTTTATGAGAAAAAATGAAGCCAGAAATATTAAATTTTCGAGCCACAAGCGAAAATGGCTGAAAAATTCACAAAAATTCCCACAATATTTTAAGTAAAAGCTAATTCTCCCACACACTTTACAATTTATTTAAAAATATTTACAATTACCAGTCTAAGCATATTAACAAGTACATTTTTTTGCCCGCACTATGAGACATTAAAATATTTTTTAAATTAGTCCGAGCGTCACGGCATTTTTTAATAATTACATGATAACGCTTCATTTCTTGGCCTTCCAAAATACTCAAAATTTTCAGCGCCTACGGCGCCAAAAATGTGAACATTTTTCGAATTTTTTTTCACTTTTAAGTGTAAAATTTCGTCTCGAACGCTGGAATGATCGTTTTTGTTGATTACTGCACTAAAAATCGAAAAATTTCCACCAGCTTTGCTGAAATTTTAATTTTTGATTTTTTAGTGAAACCTTGGAGTCTACGGTCGCTGGGTCTGGGCTCGTAACATAATCCTATTCCTATCATTATGAGGTGAGCATCCCAGGCTTCCTCCGCCGCAGCTAACAAAACCGGTCATAGCACAACTTGTTTTAAGGGCTCCCCATATTGCTTCAATTCCTTTGCTAGCCCTTAAGCAAGGACTCTCATTGGACGCATAAACTTTCATAGGAAATGACATGGAATTAATTGAAGTAATGAGTAGAAAAAATTTATTTTAAAAAGTAAATTAACGATATAAAAAATTATTTTAACTCGTAGTAATTTGTAGGTTTGTAGAATAAAAATTTGTTAAATTATTTAAATGTTCAAGCTACATTTCATGTTATAATTTTAGTATTATCATTCCAATTTCCGACTTTCAGACTGACCCTCCGGAATAAACAAAGTATGAAGCAGAAAATTGGTTTTTGGAAGTAAATCTCATCATTTTCAGCGCCGCAGACGAGGTAAAAGGGAGAAATTCTAAGAAATTTGACTAAAATTGCCACCCTGGGATTAATATTTTATTTTAAAAATCAAAAAAAATTTTTCTATATAACTAACAATTTTTATTTACGTAATTAAATTAAAATTGGAGAAAATTATATTTGGTTTTTACTTTTTTGTCTAATTTAATTTGCATTTTGTTTCAATAAAAATTTACATGAAGCAAATTTTTAGCTTTTAAAATGTTTAGAATTTGTAAAAATTTAATTAAACCACAGACTAATTCAAATATATGAATAAATTTTAATTAAATTTATGATTATTTAATTTAAAACCTATGTATGTTTCTATAAATGCGTTACAAAAAGTATTTGGATATTAATGAATTTACAGGGTGACAAGAAAGTAATGGGGCACACATTTTTTTGCAATAACTTTATTCATTTGAAAGATAGTGGGATCAAATAAAACTTTTATGATAGAGAATTAAACAAGGAACATGAATAATCAAGAATTTTTGAAGGGCCCAACCTTCCCTTAGATACAAAGTCAAAGGCGCATAGAAAACTTTTGGTAAAATTCGCACAACGTTGGTTGAGACTTTCTCCCCTCTACCGAACGAGCGATTAAATGAGAGTGTTGAAACTTTTGGGTTATTAAAAACTAGTGTTCGGCAAATGGATTTTTTCGGTACCGGTACCGGGAGTACCGAAATTTTCCAAAATCTCTTCGGGACGGTTCCGGTTCCGGGAGTACCGAAAAGTACCGATTCGGTACTTTCGGGAGTACCGCGGGAGTACCGAACCGTGCCGAACACTATTAAGAACAGATCCTTCCCTCAAAAATACCTGAAGAAGTAATCCATCGGAACTTATGCAGTTTAGGTATCCTTTTTTTAGCCACGCCCCCTTTTCTCTTTCCACCATCAAACAACCTTATTTTGTACACAATGGTCAGCCTTTCCTTCTTCACTTTTTCTTCTCCACATCAATCAATTTAGCCGAGTCGTAATTCTTATTATTATTGATTTTTGTTAAATGTTTTCGTTGGAATTTTGGCCCGCAAATGACTCGATGCCCGACTCGATAAAAATGAGGTCCGAAAAATACTCGGTCTGGCGGGTCCAAAAAAATGAAGCCCGAAAAAGACTCGGTCGGGCCGGCCCGAGAAAAATGAGGAAAAATTGACTTGAATGTCGATCCGACTCGAAAACGGCAACCCTAGACCTTATTTTTAAAAATAAAAATTACGACTCGGCTAAATTGATTGATGTGGAGAAGAAATAGTGAGAAGGAAAGGCTGACCATTGTGTACAAAATAAGGTTGATTGATGGTGGAATGAGAAAAGGGGGCGTGGCTAAAAAAGGATACCTAAACTGCATAAGTTCCAATCCATCGGATTCCTAATTGGTAACAAAATTCATAAAGGCTAGACATTTTCCAGCATGTTATGGCTTTACGCCGTTTTGGCCGCGCGCGATTTTGGGCTGTAACCCGTATTGAAAAATATGTAGAGTTTTTGTTTTAGAACTAACGTAGATACTCATAAAGCTATTTTTGTTAACACAATCCATATATGTCTCCTTAACAAAAAATTATAATTTAGTACTAATTTCAAAAATGGAATATATTTTGTGGAATCGTCATGAATTTGACATAATTTATAATTGTACAGGAATTAATGTAGATGATGTCCCTATTGAAAAAAGAAGATATCCAATAACTGCAATTATTTGTATAATACTTGGATTTATATATTATGTAGATTTTTTGAAATTTTTTTAAAAAATTAAATTTAAGCCTTTATATTTCCCTTGTCTCTACTCTTTTTGGAAGAATAAAAACAAAAATCCTTGCTATTTACTGTTAATTTATCTTTCAATTTTGGATATTTGTATGCTTTGGATACCTACATTTTCATTCGGAATTCTCAGTTTAAACGGGGTTGTCTACTGTTCTTCACCTGTATATACCTACTTTGTTGGTTGTATTGGTTTATGTAAGTGCATAAAAATTAGGGTTAACATTAGATTAATTAACAAGACACGCATAGAGGTTACATTCCATGTTGTCTTCCGCCTATGCCTTCCACAGTTCACGCTCTTTTTAACCCTTCCGCTTTTTTTTCACCCATGGCTTTAAGGGGGTTAATAAAAAACAATACCCATCTCGACGAGATTTTCGAATAAACTATTATTTGTATATTCGAATTTTTCGCTCCAAAAATAGCCTAATTTCTCCTATAGACTTTCAATTTTAAAGACCCGTCGAAACGAACTTGAACACGTCCACGAATCAATGACACGTGTTTTGTATCGAAATTTTTCCCCCGGTTTACTGAACTTCAGTTCTGGAAACTCCCTGATCTCATTTACTTGTTCGAGCCTCAATCCCTACGCCTGGTTGTAACATTCTGTTGCGAGAAACGTTATTTTTAAACACGTCCACATTATAAATCAAGGACATCCCTCGGACATACCTTTTACATCTCTTACTATATTTATTAAGATATTTTTCAGATTTATGGGCCGCTGAATGTTCTGCTGATTTGGTCTAATAAATAAATTAAAAATTGCTAAAAATTAATATTTTTTCTAGATTTTGGGAATAAATCGTTGTATTGAAATGGCATTTCCAAAAATTTCAAAAAAACTTTTTCACAATAATCGTGTCTATATTTGGATTATTTTTAGTAATTTATATGGACTTTATTGGCTTTTATTCCGACATCCTGTTATTTTTAATGGAATAACATTTCAAGTTTCCTTTGAACCATTAACTGGATATAGAGATTTTAGAACGGAATTAGTAATTTAGATTTAGTTAATTAATTTAAAATATTTTCAGTTCAATGAAGATTTGAGAAACATTACTATACTAGACACAACATTGGCTTTTGGTTCTCCAATAATTTATTTGATTTTTTCATTTTGTGTTTTCTTCAAAACACGTGAATTAATTGATAGTGTTTCTAAAGAGGAGAAAATGGTTAAAAATTTTATTATTCCTCAATTTTAAATAATAGTAAGGTCACTACCAGAAATCCGTGCTTATCTATACGATTTTTTGCCTGATCACCAATTTAAAAAGTCGTACATAAACCTGGCTCTAACGAAATATTGAGTGATTTGGTGTGATATCGAGTGATCAAGAGGGGTTGAAGGGAGTATAGGTGGATTTGGAGTATAGAAGGATATCGGTGAATTTACAGGATTAAGTTAGATTTGAAGAGAAATCGAAGGCTTATGAGATATTACTACATGAATATATCAATTAATCTCTGAATCTCAGTTCTCCATATTTGAACGTAACGCACTTAATCGTATAGACTTGAACGTTTAGACTTGAATGCCCTTGGCCTTCCAAAATTAAAAAATAATGCCTGCGGCGCTTAAAAGGGAGGAAATCTGGCACCTTGGCCTTCCATATTTTTCAAAATTTTTGCCTTTTTCTTTGAAAAATATGGAAGGCCAAGGTGCCCCATTAACATTTATTCCCCCATTACCTTATGCCGCCCCCTTAACTTAAACTCAATATTTCAGCACAGCAGTGGCAATTTTATAATTATACTGAGTCGTATGTAAAAAAAATAAAAATTTAAAAATTAAAAAAATTTTTTTTTAGTAAATCCCGATCCCGATTTTTCAATCCCTGTCCCGATTCGGGATCGGAATCTCCAGTCCAAATCCCGATTTCGGCCAATCCCGATCCCGTGTCGAGATCCGGGATCAGAATCACCATTCCAAAATCCCGATCCCGGGTTTTTCTCTAAACCCCGATACCGCTTATCTCTAGTACAGCGAGCTGCACATTTACCCATAAATTCCCACGATAGATTAGTTAGATGTTTATTGAATCTGTAATATTTTAAGGTCTTTCTTCAAGTATTTATCATTTCAATGTTAAATACATCCAATGGTATTTCCTATGCTTACAATATGAATCATTCAGATCTTGGAATTTTGCCGTTAATGATTGCACACTTTACTTGGTAAATAAATTATATAAATTTATTTTTATATAATTTTTATTCAATTTTTAAGGTTACATATTCATGGTATGTTAATCAAAAAATGAATTTATTTATTAAAAACAGGGTGACCCTTTTACCTCATCTGCAGGGGTTTTCCCCTGTTTACACTTCTTGCCCCATTTCTTCCTCTTTTTCTACATACTCCTGTTAATGATATGGAAAGGGTCACCCTGATCAAGAAACAAATTTAAATATTTTTTAAATTATTATTTAAGGTTTCCCACCAGTAATTTACTTAACATTAAACAAAACTGTTCGGACTGACACAAAAATTCTTCTGGGAAAATTTTTTAGTTTATTAAAGAAAAATCAAAATCAAGTTTCAAATATGTATGGACCTGCCCAAAATGGCTGAAGTAAATGTGTTGCGTATCAAATGTGTACCTAAAGAGATCTTAAAAAGCGAATACGAAAGAAAAACATGAAGGCGAAGGTATATTATCCTTAAAATTCATAACGATTTTTTAACATCTTTTGAATTAGTGTAGTAAAAAATAGGGGGTAATTATTTGAGGGAGGGCAATTATTGTTTCGATCTCCCTCTACATGGGGTATTTAATACAGGTGGGGTAACATTAATACAGTTTTTACGGTAATCAAAACATTTTTCAAAAAAATATTTAATAATTCATCAACTCCAATATCTGTTGTTCCAAGAGTTGTTAATAACAATCAGATAAACCAGATTACTCCAATTTCTGCATAATTGTTTAGATTATTTTTAAGTAATACAAAATAAATATTTAAACTTGATAAAATTTTTAAGAATTCAATTTTATTAATTAAAAATTTTAAAAAAATTAATTTTTTTAATAAAAGAGAATTTTGGAAAATTGGTAAAATTTAATAAAAATATTTCATAGACACAGAAAAATTATTTTTTAATTGTTTGCAAAACTATTCCAGCTGCTCATTCTATTTTAGTTGTAACCAGCTTCTCCTCATGCATGCGCATTAAATTTGGAATTAAAAATCCAATTTTCTACATTCAGTTTTTAGATAAAAATATGAAAATAATTTAGAATGCCTAATCATTAATAAATGTTTTAGGTATATAAACTTTTTAGTGTCCTCTGGAACAGATATCTCTGAAACCTTCGGATACTACCGTTATCTGTACCAAGGACAAAAAGCCAGATATTTTCCAAAATCTTTTTTGTCGTGGCGGGGATAATTTTTTTGGAATTGTAGAATAAATTACTACAAAAATAATGTCAGCATTAGATGTGTAAATCGCTAAATTGGCGAAAAAAGCGGAAAACTGAAGCGGAAGAGATCACATCCCTGGTACATTCTTAGAAACTAGAAAATAAATTTTTGATACAAAAATGCATTTGCATGATTAGAACGCCATGGCAATATTTTAAATAAATTTGAAAGTATGCGGAAACGAATTTTTGTTAAAATTAAAGCAATTTTTAAAGTCACGAATTTCTTTTTTAATATATGTATTCTTTTAAAAAGCATTTTCCCAGAAAATTTAAGAAAACTTAAATCTAAATAAAATTAATTTAATTATTTTATTTTAATATTAATTTTCATTATCCATTATAAATAAAAATATACATATTTTTATTAAAATTTCAATAATTAATGGGCAATAAAAGCTTCTATAGCGTTAGTTTTTAATTATTATTTTTATATAAAACATAAATTAATTTAAGCCATTTTATTCAAAATACAATCAAGTCGGATTTGTTCCTGAACTATTTTTTAATGCTTTAACTACTACTTTATTTTCTTTAATTCTTATGATATTAAATTTTAGTCTTTGCTATATCTTTATTAAATACAGGTAGTACTTAGTAGAGCTGTCAGTGATAAAAATTTTCTAAGACCCAAGACTTGACCCCAAGACTCAAGACCAAAAATTAATGTGTCTCAGGACAATTTTTTGGTCACTTAAGGCAAATTTTTAGTTTATCTTTCGGTTATTCGACATAACCCTATATAATTTATAAGAATTTATAGGTCATTGCGAAGGAGATCATGCGTAAGTTGGATTTGGGGGAAAAGGCGAAAGCGGAAGTAAATCTAGGCCTGGAATGTAACTTTCTTCTTCCATCAAATCCTCTGATATCCTTTTTTAACTCAAGGTGGCTCATTATTTTGGTTTCGGATATTTAAAGATTTCCCAGGAACTGTCAACCCAAGCTGTAATATCATGTTACACAATTTTATTTTTCTGTAATTATTTTAAAATTAAATTTATGTATTAAAATTAAGGCAACAATATAGTACATTAAAAAGCAATACAAGCACTTTAATATTTATTTATTCATCTATTGAAATTTTATCTCATCTAATTCGACTAATTTATTTTGTAAGAGTATCTATTGGCCTTAATTCTCTTCCAATTTGGTTTGCAAAATTTTATGTTGTTTATATATCTATTACATATTTGTCCACATATTTTATGTATATACTAATGGGTTTTGATCGTTTATTTGCTGTATCCTTCCCAATATTGTGAGTTTATTTAACTTAAATTGAATTTGGATACGAATTTCATGCACATGTTAATGTCATAAAAAGCAAGGTTTTTGACCAAATTTTGGCCTGCAGCGCCTGAAGAATTAAATTCTCGCCAGATTATAGTTGATGTCAGAAAATTCATTGACATTTTTTCTAAAATGTCAATGAATTTTCTAAAATGTCAAGGTTTAATTACCCAAGTTTAAGATTTGACAATGTCCAAATCGACAAAGAAAAGACAAAAATCACTAGAAAGTTCTGAGGATGAAGGCAATATAATAGAACAAAGAATAGATCGATTGGAAAAATTAGTAGAGCAATTAACAACAAAAATTTCTAATATTGTTACTCCCTTGACAACATCAAATAAAAAAAATAATACTAATGAAATTGTATTGACACGTATTGAAAAAATTGAAGAAAAAATATTAAAAATTGAAGAAATTTTAACACGTATTGACAATAATAACAACAACACAACTTCCCAACCATCATGGGGTTCGCCTATTTCTGCCCTAAGTCCTCCACCTGACCTTGTTATGAAACTAATATCTTCAGCAGCATCTAATGGGGATCTTCTCAAGCAAAAATCATGTAGAGCTGTTCTAGAAAAACTACCTGAATCTATGGATGAGAAGGAAGTGGTAGGAAAAATTATTGATTCTATTGGACTTACTAATGAATATTTGCCAGAACATACACACCGTCACCCACAAAACAAAAATATGTCTAGCGAAATAAACAAAAAACCAAAATTAATTAAAATTTCTTTTAAAAACTCTATTTCGCGTGACAAATTTTTGTATTCTTTTAGAAACACTTTGCGTAAAATACATTCCCTTCCCCAAAATCTTACTGTTCGAAGGGATATGATCCCGGCCGAATTAGCAATATTATATTCACAACGGTCTAAAGCATATTCACTTAATGCTTCATGCAAACTTTTTAAATATTATGTAGTTGACCTACAAATAAGGGAGTTACGCGAACCTAAACCTCTCAATACTAAATAGGATAAATTGAGTAAACCCCGAAAGTCAAAAAATTCTAACATTGATATAGATATAAAAAATTTAACATGCCTTTGCTTTAACAGCAGATCACTAAATAATAAAGTGCCTGATTTGCAACATTTTCTTGAAATACATAACCCTAGCATTTGTATGATTACCGAAAGCTGGCTTACTCAATCTAATTGTATAAAAACAGATTTTTCAATGGGTGATAAATATCAGTGTTACTTTGCAAATCGTCCAAATAAAAGGGGAGGTGGCTGTTGTCTTTTAATTTTATCAACTATACCTGTCAAACTTTTGTTCTGTGGGACAAAATTTGGTTGCGAAATTATTATTATTGAGATTCTAATTACCAAACCTACTATTGTTATTACTTTATATAGACCCCCATCACTTAATCAATCTAGTACTAATAAAATACTTAAATATATTGCTGACTTAAACCATAAAAACTTAATAATAGCTGGTGATTTTAATATTAACACAATAAACTGGTTAACAAACTCTTGTTCAAACGATAATACTACACAAATATTTATTGAATTTGTTAATCGCACCCAAATTAAACAACATGTTACATCACCTACTCGCGGCGATAATATCTTAGATCTTGTATTTTCGAGACCCCATGACTTAGTTAGAAATTTAGAGATCACTGAAAATTTTTCAACATCTGATCACAAATCCTTAAAGTTCAATCTTTCCTTATGCACTATGCGTATTCCAAAAAAGAAGATATATATAAGAAAAGTAACAGAAAAAGGTTTCTCCAAGTTAAACATAGAGCTAACACAACTTGATTTTATAAAATATATGTCTGACAAATATGCAATCAATGAAAAATATAATTCTTTTACTGAAATACTATATTTTTATTATGATAAATTCATACCACTTAGGACTATAAATACCATAATTAAAAACGAATATCCACAAAAAATCCGATCTCTGAATCAAGAAAAACTAAAATTACACAAAACCTTGAAGGAATCTCCTAATTCTAATCTAGCAACAAAATATAAAATTATCTCACGACAACTTAAAATTCAATTACAAAAATTTCATTATAATAAGGAGAACACCATTATATCAAAAGGTGCAAATGCAATTCACAAATTTATTAAAAAGAAACTTAAAACAAACGCATGTATTGACGCATTAATAGATAAAAAAGGAAATATACTTACAAAAGATCAGGAAAAATGTGAGTTACTTGCAGAAAGTTTTCAAAGTAACTTCACTGATAAAGAAACTCAAAGTCAAGAATTTATTGACGTCTACTCTCAAAATCCTAACTCTAATTCACAAAATCTTATCAAAGATATAAACTTTGATATTCTGCAAATTCTAGATTTACTTAAAAGACTTCCAAATAGAAATTCAACATCACCAGATCAAATACCCTATATATTATTAAAGAGATCGTGTGATCAAATCGCACAATATATTACAGAAATCTTTAGACTAATATTAGATAGTAAAAATATACCCGACATTTGGAAAACATCAATTATAGTACCTATACATAAAAAAGGAATAACAACAGATCCAGAAAATTATAGGCCAATTTCCCTAACTTGTACATTATGTAGAGTTTTTGAAAGAATCATAGCTAATAATATTATAGAATTTTTACATAATAAGGATTTTTTTGATAAAAATCAATTTGGTTTCCTCAAATCAAGATCTACTACTACACAACTTCTAACAATGTTAGAAGATTTTTACAATGCAGTAGGTAACAATCAGAATATAGATGTAATTTATATCGACTTAAAAAAAGCTTTTGACACAGTTCCAATAAATTTATTACTTACAAAAGTTAAAAATGCTGGTATATCTGGAAAAATTTTTGAATTCATAAAGCATTTTGTAACAGGACGATCCTACCGTGTAAAAATAAATGACTCGTTTTCAAGATCTTTTCATACATATTCAGGTGTTCCCCAGGG